CTGGGATTCAGTGGCAGAACACTAGTGAGGAACATCCAGTTTGGATATGTGTTCTTTTCCCCCTCAGGTGTAGCAGCTTCCTTCCATCTTCACATCTTCACATCATCTGCATACATGTCCCCAATTGTGTCATCTCTGTATGTATGATTTTTTTCTCTCTCTCTTTAGACAAACAAGAGTCTACCCTTGTGTTCCACCACCGCGTCCCCATGGGGATGTTCCCGTCCATGTCCGAACGATTCCCGAGCTCGGCTGCATGCTGGCTAGAAAAAAAAAAAAAAAAAAGCCCAGAGGGATCAGCACAAATGTCAGGCCGGTGCCACGTCCTTAAACGCATCATGATTAAATGTGATTTGACACAGACTAATGCGTTACACACAGTCCAGGGATTTATTTCGTTTTTTTTTATCGGTATGTTTCTCAAGCATTCGAGACACAAAGCAGCGTGCATGGTCCCCATTTGCCTCACGGAAAGTTCAGAGAAAATGCTCCTTGTATTTTGGATGTGTTTTGACATCTCTCATGCATTCGCCCGTTCTCCGGATTACATAACCGCTGCCATACACATTTTATTTATTCAGAGATATTAGAGACATTTGCATGCAAAAGGCAAAACCGCACTCGAAGAGAAACAATGGCGTATCTATGATGACCGCTGCTGCTGCTGCGTTTGATAACTCGATGATTTGTGACATTTTCTGGGAAGGACGCATCCTGTTATTGTCCTAATGCTGCATTTTAGAGGAATTTAAGAAGCGTCCGTGAAACACAAGACACACACACACACACACGTACGGGAGGCCTTAGAGGAAGCCGACTGCCTCATCTGATCTTTTCCAGATTCATCATCTTCTGTGGAGCGGGGCAGCGCCGTCTCTCTGAGCTCACTTCCTCACCCATCTGTCTGAGCCACTCGGAGCTGATCTCTGCCATCCACACACACTCCTGCTCTGCTATTGAATTATCCTGGAATGCCCCACATCGCCCGGCGTTCCTCCCACCGGCTGCCCAGTTGACTTCGGTTCTTACTGTCAACCCGACTGAAAACAAACAGCAGCTGGCCAGGAGAAACTGCAGGAAGACATTTGTTTTTATAAAGTGGATATGGAGAGAGCAGGTTTGTTTTGCTGGAAGTGGTTCTCTTCCTCTCCGCCTTGGCCCCGGGCCGTGGGCCCTTTCAGAACCTGGCTGGCAGAGTGGAGAAAGGACATTGAGTGGCTGTCGACTGGATCCACTGGCAGCGTCAGCGTCCGGCCCAGCCTGAACCCAGACGGAGCACAGACGCTGCTGTCGAGGCCGGAGCGGGCCGGCTTCACCCTGCTGACGTCAGCCACCGACCAGACCACAAGGCTTGTGTTAGAGTTTCAAACAAACTCGCTGCCTATTGCTATGGCAGTGTGGACCACCACCATGGAAAACACCAGGGCCCGTCTGCAGCGTGTTTACCATCAACAGCCGCCTCATTTCTGCTGAATCTAAAGAAAGACGAGGAAGGTTTCTGTTGTCACCGAGACACTCACACATTCCAGAGTAAACACGGTTTAACCCTCTGGACGGGTTCTGTGTGTTTTGCTGCCGTGACACTTTTCCTCACTTTGACCTCATTTTTCACTGCAACATAAAATCCTGCACCTCTGTGGAAACAGACCGACCGAGGCTGGAAGTGGAGAGAACTCAGACATGGCCTTGGTCTGGATAGCAAAGTTAAAATGACAGAAATAAAGTTGAATTTCTTTGATTACTTATTTCACAAAAAATGAAAATAACTGATAAACATGGACATGGTCTCCACAGGTGGTACTAATGCTGGAAAAACAAATGGTGGCTCCTGATGCTAGATATATTTTACTGTTTAGATTTTTATAACCTCTGCAAGCAAAGTGTTCTTCCTCTACTCTGCACATCAAAAATGGGAGATATTTCACCATGCTGAACTTAACTTTAAACAATTTTCTCCTCTGCGTACCATATTTTGAACCATTTTATTTTATTTAAGTATGTTTCATTTTGCTCTCAGTTGCTCTAATTTATTTCCACGCTTGCCGATGGAAACAGCCTGCAGTTCAGTCCAAATGTTAAGCAAAGTCACTTATAGCTTCCCCGCTGTGTCCAGGAGCACCACATTTCTTTTTGTTTGTTTTTTACAGGACCTGATGCAAATGATTTACTTTTGACAAATTTTTAAACGAGGAATGTAAAATAAAAGGATTTTGACTAAATATCGCAATTTTAAGTTGAGGTTTAGAACATCCAGTATGATCACTTCAGGACCTTCAGAAAGATTTTTAGTTTCCGGCTGATAAATGGTGTAATTTTGGTCAATAGTTAAAAGATAATACGTTTTTTAAACGTGCTTGTTTGGGGATTCAGAGGGTTTTAAGTACAGTTAAAATGGTTCATTAATTACAGAGACACCTGAAGTACACTCAGTACATTTTAGGTCAGTACGTCTTGCACTTAACAAGTCCACGATTAGCGTCAGGTTTTTCGTGCCGGGTAATTTTCATAGCTGAACAATTAAATCTCAGTGAGCAGATGACATGGCAGATGTTTAAAAGAGCTCTGAATGTCAGGAGCTGGTTGAGAAGCAAAGGCACTAGAAGTCTATCAACCCAGATCTACAGGTTTTTACCAATAACTGAATCTCTTTCAGGTAAACTATTGAGCTCGTACAGATTATAAACACTGAAACTCATCAGCCGATCACATCAGTAAACGTCTTTCCTCTGTTTTGTTGAACCCGTTTAGAAATCTTTAAAAGCCATCTCAGGCTTCACGTTAATTTTACCCTCTGGCCGGTCACGTATTTCTGATCCTATCTGTCCGGGTCAAGGTGCTCACAGCCATGGGAGAGTGAATGCCCTGAGGGCCCGGCACATAGCAGCACTATCGCTAAGCCTTCCTGTTTACATTGTTGGCCGGCAGCACCGGGCTCAAACCAGAGGGGAGAGAAGTCACTGGTGTCACTGGTGTCACTGGTGTCACTGCGGGGAAGTGACTGAAGACTGAATCAAGTTGTTGTCCTCCGTGTGTCACTTCTGGCTGTTTTTCCTCGCAAAACGGGAACCATGACAACATGAGGCGGTGTGTAGTGCTCGGATGATTAAGTTTGTGATGTGGTTCTGGGAATGAATTGGACAGGACACACCAGTACTGACTACAACCAGGATTTTTTCAAAATAAAACACAGTGCTGCCCCCGTTAATAATCATAAAATGTCAAAGTCCGGAACCATTTCCTGTATAACCTATAGTAAACCAACCCCTTTACTGTCACAGAATGATGTCGTAATCCCGGTTTTTGTCATGATGAAATTCCCCGCAGTTGATTCCAGGAGTAACTTTGGCCCGTTTAAAGTCACGGTGGGCCGATTGTTAAGGCACCTGGGCCGAGCGTGGCAGATTATCACACCGGTCAGCCGGGGAAGGCAACGTGTTTGTTTGTTTGTCAATGATCTGCTCACCTGAGATCTGCTTCACTGAGTTATTAACACACTGACAGTAATTAGGGCACATGGAAGAGCATGTCGTCGCTCATAACTGCTCAGCTAGTTTATCAGGATAAGTTAATCCTCTGTGGACCCTCTGATTACTTTTATTGGTGAGGTGGTTTTTCGTATCGACAAAGGCGAAATTTCACCAAAGCAAAACCATAAAGCTCCATTTGAGTAAACTAGTGATGCACGATATTAAAATTTCTGGCCGATACCGATATCCGACATTAAGATTCCTGATATCACTGATGTCGATATTAAATTTTTGTTCACACTGAAAAATGAGTATCAGTAAGCACTCTGAGAAAATATTCAAAAGAAGCCCAAACTAGACCACATAGTCGTCTTTATTATGTAACAAAAGTAAAACATATTTAAGTCCAGGACCATTTAAGTAAAAACATCTGTGAAATAGCACCGATATCAAACGTAAAGACGAAGGCGCTAACGTTAGACAATCATCGGCTAAATTTGTCCATCGGACTGATACTGATATATCGGAAAAAACACTAATTTCGGCCGATACCCATGTGGTCACCGATATATCGCACATCCCTAAAATAAACATTTCTTGATTTTTAAAGAAACTGTCCCATGATCTTGTGAAAACTTTCCCATTTTGGCCTCATAAACCCCCGTTTGTCGTCACAATTTTCTCAGCGCTCTATCGCTGCGGACGCTTCGATACGCTAATCTTGAAGCCTGCTTATTGGAGTATCCCGGATGTAGTCATAATTCCATCCTGGACAGATGGTATGATAATAAACTGTTTTATGTTAATAATGCACATATGATAATATTATATCATTTATTTCAGTACACTTGTGGCTACAGACGCGCTTAGTCTCGTATTTTGAGTTGAATTCATTTGAAACAAAGTTAAAGATGAATTTTTCAGGTTTTTGTGTAGATATGGTAATAATATTCTTATTGCTATATTTAGTAATGATAACCACGTGGTAATAATCTGACATCTGTACCAGTCCTACACCTGTACAGCCTGACAGAAACTGGCTGCCTCTTCCTCACACCCAACTGTGGAGCTGTTTCAGGAACTTTAGATGGTCTGATCCCAGTCTGGTTGGTCCTAAATTCTTCGTGCAACCCCAAACGTTCAGTCAAAGAACGAACCTCTGCAACGAGGAGTCCAGCAACAGACTGCGTGGCTTCCACAGAGTCGTGGTCTTAGCATCATTTGGTCAGTCTGGGGTCACACGAAGAGACTAAACAAATCCACAGAAGAACTCTGGCAGGTACTGAAGATGCCTGGAACATCAAACCTGGCGAGTACCACATGTACCTGGAGCTGGCAAAGCGTAGTCACACCAAATATTGGTTTTAGTTGGGTTGTTTTTTTGCTTACTGCACTTCTTAAAAAGTTAACTACAAACAGTTGCATCACTTCAGCATCATACCGTAAGAGAAAAAAATCCAGATTTCATGACAAGCTTTTGAAGTAAAGGATAAAGAAACGGTTCCCTGATCCAATAACATCCAGACCAGAAAGTTCTGTTATACATGCCCATTTTAATAATCTGATAGAAAACATTTGTTGAGCACAACATACACCATTTTACCATATACTGTGAGGAAAACACTGAAAAAATACATTTGAAACAATGCTATATATTTCAGCAAATATTCCTATCGCTGTACAATGACCCGTCACCGTACACAAGATGCTCCAGTAAATATCCAGCCTTCGTAATCCGCCAGGAACCAAAGACTTAAAAAGCTTCTGCTGCACCTCACGTGAGGCGTTGTTGGTTTACTCTGTACAAACATCTGTGGCTGGAAATTTCAAACATTTTTTTTAAATTGTCAAAAACGACCTGCATAACTTCACGTTATGGTCCTTTAGCAAAATAGCCTCGCCGAAAACAGACGAACCACCAGACGAGTTCAGTCAAAAGTGTGATTTGACACGTGGTAGTGCATATAAATAATACCAAATATACAGTGAATATTATCGATCAATATTATCATATACAAGGAGAAGGTAATAAATACACTGTTACAAACAGCTTCAGGGTCGGCACAACACAGCTGGGTGCAACAAGATTGTGCGACTGTGACCATATATACACACACACACAGTCACACACACACTCACGCACACTCACACACACACACACACACACACACACGCACACACACACACACACACACGGGAGAGGAACATCATGTCATGACCTCCCCTCATTGATCCCCCTTACATACGACGTGGTACCTTACAGGTAGTGTTGGACAGATCAGCAACCAGCTGCAGAACTGTCGACGTGTATTCAAAGTGCTGCAATAAAAACTAGGAGACACGATTCTTCTATCACTAACAGGTGTCCGTTCAACGTGTGCACACAGTCTCACAGTCGTTCAAACGGGCGTGAAGCGTATTCACGACAACGGAATGCTGTTAACCACAACAGGTGTGTGTGAGCGGATGAGAACGGGGGGAATTACAGAGTGGGAACAGTTTTTCCGACGTGGAAGAGCTCGGGGCAAAAGGAGGGATTTTAAAACTTTATCTGGGATGACGTCGGGCGGAGGGGGGGATATAGTCGGCTGTGTGAACTCTCCGACGGGCTGCAGGAAGACGTGAGGAATCGATCTGATCTCTGGAAGTCTGACTTGTCACAGCAGCGACTGAGAGGTGGCAGTGAATTCATCAAAGTGCTTTCTTTACAAGATTTCCTTTTGGAATACAAAATGTTTTTGGACTTTGAAGGACCTACAAAATTATTTCATTCAAATGAATTATTGGGAAAAAATATTTGGATGAATCTGCTAAAATCATTATTTGGTTTGACGTGTCGGTGATGTCTACTGATGGTTTCCACGCTCTCTTCGTTTTACCGAATGCCACAAAGTGCAAATTGTGCTGGGAAGTCAACTGATTTTTAGAAATACATCCACTTTTGTGAAAACGAGCTTGTACTATTGCCAGAACATTAGGAAGACTGTGTGAGACGAGTGTGTCCTCTCTGTAGAAAACTGGACACGTTTTACAGCTACATGAATGTGCTCAATAAATTATAAAAACGCTTACAAAAAGACACGATTGTAAAAAGAAAAAAAAGAAAAAGAAAAGGCACACAACTTTTTCTTAGACAAGTGTTAAAAAAAAACTACTTGGTTGACCAGTAGTTTTGGTTGGACACGACCAGATGGTATCCAGGCTTGACACATTACAAAGAATCTAAATGAACAAAAAAAAAAAATGTCCTGAAGTGCAAGTTTGGAATTGTTCCTTGTCCCAGTACACGGATTCATACCGTCCACTTCACATTCTTTGTCTGGAAGAACCCAGATTCAGCTCAGCCTCACAGTCGTCCCTTCTTTAAAGAACAGAGGCTACACTCTTCAGGCTCCCTTCTTGGGGGCTCAAAAACAAACTGCCGCAGGGTTTCCAAGCCTCGTTTGCAGGGCTGCCCCACAGTCAGTCAGGCCCTCTGAGCCAGGCAGCTCCAGATTGCAGGATTTCTCCACTGCAATAAAAAATTAAATCAGCAAAATCTGCTGCTGCAGCTCCAAAAGCACCACCAGTTCAGCTATGTTTCCGCTGGGGAGACGTCGCGCGTCGTCATTTCTACCCTGTCCTCGTCGGAGGGATGATCTCGGAGCGTCACGTCGTCGCATCCCTCGGCTGTGTCCATCATGCCGCCGTCTTCACCCTGTCCGTCCTGGTCGTCCAGCGTCAGTTCGAACTGAAATTTACTCGCCACGGGTCCCCCCTCCACCTGCCCGTGTGGGCCTCCTTCTCCGTCGCTGGTGTAGAAGGGAGGAGACGGGCTCTGTGGGATCATGCTCTGGTACCAGTTCCTGTTGTCCTCCAGCATGTCCAGGATGTCCTGGGCGTCGGGATGGACCAGGTCAGCCCACGTCTCCCACAGAGGATGGACGATGTAGTCGATGAAGCCAACCTAGAGACGACAAACGAGGGTGATGTCAGTAAAAATAAAAACATATCTCAAACATTTACTCCTGGTTCTGGATGTCTGAGCTCTCTACCTGAGTTCTCTCCACTGAGGCGGTGTGCTTGTCACACATGGGGCTGATCTCCATCCCCCTCTCCCTCTCTCTGTCTCCCTGGTGGAAGAACTCGTCCATGATCCTGTCGGTCCACTGCCGGTACAGATCCAGAGGCTTGGTGGGGTTGCTCAGGTCGGCACAGTGGACCATGTTACGCAGAACCTGCACAGAAATCAGCAGCTTAGCATCCTGACTCTCTCTGCTGCACATCAAAGTGTTTACATGACACACGTGTTAAAGCACGCCTCCTACCTGCATCCTGTCCGTGTAATTGTCCAGCAGCAGGACACCGGAGCTGGTCACCTTCTTGGTCTCCACCATCGTTTTCAGATCGGCCAGCAGACTCATGTGTTTCGACATGTCGGTCGCCAGAACCTGGAAGACGGAAAGACAGGGAAAATGATGTAAGAAATAACCCGGGATGAAAGAGGAAGGAACAAAGTAGTCAAGGCTGCGCTGAAAAAGCTAAAAAATGAGACATTTGCTCACCATGTCTATGACCATCCTCCGGAGCGTCTGCCTTTGTTTCTTGGTGAGGTTCTGGAAGATGTCGCAGTTGTCCTCCTGCAGCAGCTTGAAGCCCACGGCCAGGTGGTGGTTCTCCAGCACTGACTCATCGTTGTACATCAGAGCCAGCTCAGAGTCTGAGAGGAGGGAGGGAGGGAGAAATGACAGGAAGAGAGAAATTAAATAGAGCTTCTTAAACTCAGGTCAGGTAACTATGGTAACCATTCGATGCCCCTAAAAAAAACCCACGTCGTTGCCTTTGGAGACGGATCCCATTAAACCGTGCAAATGTTTCGGCCTAGTTTGCAAATGTAGACTAAATAAATGTTGATTTTTTTTTGCCAGAAAAGACTCACTGGTGTTGATGAGGAACTGGTTGGACACTCCTGGGTGGTCCACGTCGTGAATGGCCGCAGCAAAAATGGCCGCCAAGATCTCCAGATCAGTGAAGACGGCCTGCGTTTGAAGAGAAAGAACACAAAAGAGGTGAGCTTCCACAGCTAATGAAGTGACCAAACAAGGTAAGGTATTAGAAAATGGTTGCGAGGCCTCTATGTGTCATACTCTCTGGCATGCACTCGCTGCAGCCACCTTTTCATAACCAGCCTGAGAAAAAGGTGTGGGCGAATGTGACACACTTTAATGGTGTCACACGGTAATCAGGGACAACTCATAAAAACAACAAATGCGAGCGTGTCAAAACACCACTTTGCTACTTGAAAAGAGCAGCGAAATAACAGCTGAACAGTTGGTTGTTCAGAAAACGATGACAGGAAGAAGGCAGAATCTCAACCAAAATGAATATTCAGTGACTTACATCCAGCGCGGGAGTGGACAGGAGGATGTGAGTGGACTGGGCCACGTCGGCGGCGTGCAGGCTGTTGTGGTAGGCCACGTCGGAGTGGTAGTGGCCCTCTAAGGTCAGCATGAACGTCACAAAGGTGTCTGTCGGAATCTTGAACGTCCTCATCAGGTCTCGCTCCTGCGTGCGACACACAGGAAGAAAATTAGAAAAACAGAACTTTAAACAGCGAGAGGGGATTCCTGACTGCAAAGGTTACGGCGTGTTGTTTAGGCGGCGGATGAATCATCAGCAGATATCTAACCTCGATTTTTAAACCGTATCTGTCAAACTGTGAATCATGTACGAGAGAAAAGCCTGACGAGATGAAAACAATTCGCTCTCCTGCCAAGATGATTCAGGGCTAGCAATCAATTTCTGCTGCTAATGGTGGCCCAGCAGATGCTCCTGTAACGATACGGAGAGCTGAACATAGCAGAGAACATAGTGTACGCGCCGACATATGCTGTGCCTCGTGCCTTCTATAGCCCCGTGTTTATGTTTGAATGCTTTCACACTTTTTTTTTTCTCCCTGACTTGACAAGAGGGTGAAAGGGGAGTGTGAAGAGGAAAGGAACTGACCTGAAAGATGGTGTACATGATGCATGTGAGCGGCCGGTTGTGGGAGTGTTCAGCCACTTTGAAGATATTCAGTCCCCATCTGTTGATGTCCTCCAGGTCCTGTTAGGGAATTCAGAAGTTAAGTGTTTCAACTCCAGACATCACATTTCTTTCTTTCTTTGTTTTTTTTCTGGCTGTACATTTATTGCTTCGCTCACCTTCGACAGCAGCTCCTCCTGGTCTGTCTTGACCCCGAAGCGATTTTGGATGCTTCCAGAGATGCTGGACGTATGGCTGACCTTCCTCACCCCGCTGATCTGTGTCATCATCCCGCTCTGCTGCTGCTGCTGCTGCTGCTGTTGCTGCTGCTGGCCCTGCCTCCTCTTCCTTTCCCTCGACTTTGGAACTGGACACGGAAGCTCCAGCTCATTCTGTTTGTCTGGAGGAAATAGAATTGAAGACAAAAAGGGAACAATTGAAGATTAAAGAGGTGGTTTTTCGATCAGGTCAGCTGCTAGGGGTTGTTGGATGAGCCTCCTCGCTTGTGTCGCCACTGCACTGAGTGAACTGAGTTACCAGTGGGAGATAGTTGACCTCTCACACCTACGTGACAACACACTGAAGCTGCACTGGCAGTTATTTAATTAGCAAACGATCCCTCACTTTCTGTCTTCTCCACTAAAACACACTTCTTTTGACAGCAGTACAGACCAAAAAAAAAATACTGATTTGAATCACATGCAATAGTATTTTCATACAAACGTGATGAAAATGTCATATTGACAGACTTAACAAGTGTTAATGAGATGTTATGACAATATTAAAGTGTCCCGTGAGCTCAGAGAAAGTGACCAATGTTGTAAAAACAGTTCAAAGAATCGTGGAAAGCTGGCTCACATTCAGTTCTAATGTTTAGGGGAGGGACGTATTAGTATGCAGGTTTATTCGCTGCATGTGATTTACTCCGTCTGTTAGCTGAGAGACAATTCTCACGTGTTGTACGCAGCCAACAGTTTGTGTGTGTGAGACTCCCTGGGTTGGTATAAGTGCACCACATGCACCACAGTGTGAAAAAATATCTCAGCTGCATCCTCCACAAAGCAGAGGAAAATGATCTCTGTACACCTGACAGGTGTTAGCTGCAATGCAGATGACAAAACCGCTAAGCTTCAAAGATAAACTGAGCTGTGCTGTTGTGTTCGTCTCCATAAGCAGCTCTATCATGTCGAAGCCTCTTCCACTGCACCACTTCTATTGTTAGTTTTTCCACCAGCACCTTGTTCCCCTCCCCTTCTCTTTTCTTTGTCTTCTGTTTTAGGCTTTGCTCCCTCCGAGGCAGGAAGTCGGAGGTGTGTTTACTAGCACGAGCAGAACATCAGTCTGAAAACAACCCTGATAAGCTGGCTGTCTGGCTGCATGCTGCTGCTGGTGGTGGTGGGTTGAATGGGAGGGTGGAAAACCTGAGGGGCAGACAGGCTGGCTGTTTGCAGGGCAGGCGAGCTGCCTAGCTGGCTGTGAGTCACGAAATGCTGCTAGGCTTTTAAAAAACAAGGAAACGCTGCTGTCCTCGTGATGAATAATGCAGCGTCTACTTGGACCTGATGGCACAAACATTCTCCCTCTCCCCGACTCGTTGCTCCTGATCTCTCCAGAGGGAAGTCTTCCCTGAGTACAATGCCCTCCCTCCCTCCTCCCTTCACATATCTCTGCAGTCAGAGCGAGGGGACCCTGTCTCTCTCCTCCAGACCAGATCAGACTGGTTTGAGAGCGGCGGTGCAGACCAGCTATGTGTTCCTCCACTACTTAGCACATGCTTTGTGTAACCTCACCACCTTTGCCACATACACACCGTCATTCCTGACGGGGATGTTGGTTCACTGACGTCGCTGTTATGCATAAAGCACATTCTGTGATTGCATACTTCAGGATGTGTTAATATGTGCCGAGTTGCTCACCTAGAAAGGTGTTGGAGATGTACTCTGACACTTGGTTGCCTGAGCGACTCATCTCAGACAGGTGGCTTAGCTCCCGGTTCAGCATCCTCTTGAACTGCAGGCGAAGAGATAAAGCACAAATGAGGTCAGAGGGAAAGACACAGACATCCATCAAATCATTCTTCTGCTGTTTCTGAGTAGAGGAATAGAGCATTTCCTGTTATTTTCCACTGGAACATGTCCCTTGAGAACATGGCCCCTGTCTTTAAATGAACCATATAAGGTCTGTGTTTACATCCTCTTGGCTTGAATTAGCCACTGAGACTGCTTAGCAATCCAGCAAACAAAATACTGTGGATATGTACAAAATGCTGCAGACTAATCTTCATGCACGCTTTTTCCAGGGAAACAAAATATTCCAGTTTTTCTCAACGCATGCAACCACTGAGCGAGAGCATAACGACAAAATCAGCCTAATGTAATCAAACACATCTGAGTGTGTAATCGAAATATAACAAAATCAGAGCGAGAAATCTGAGCTGCTGCACCAGCTGCAGTGAACAGACATGAACATTCATAGTCCCGTCATCACAATGGCAATCCTTCAGGGACACACCTTAATGTATCCCCAGGACACAGAGAACAGGTAGTTGGCCTCAGGCATGGTGCTGAGCTGTGCTGAGCCCCTGGTGCTCCCCAGCAGAAGCAGTGAGTGCTCCTCTCTGAGTGGATCTCCAAAGCTGAGCCGAGCTCTGCAGCCTGAAGCTCCAGGCGCCACCAAAATCGCCGCCTTGCAACGGTCGACTACGGTGAAAACGCCCCGGCTGAAGCCTCTGGAGTGGGGCTGTGGCGGAGCCCCTACATCCCCAGCCAAATGCGCCTCCTCCTAGCGTCGCCCATCATTTTCAAGGATCGCAAGCCGCTGGCGAGAGTGATGGAATCCCCCTGGATGCAATCGATATTTCCTTTTCTTTGGTTCTCGCCGCCTCTGTCCGTCTCTCTAAACCTCTGCCTCCTCCCGTCGCTATCCAAATGTTATCCAGTGGCATGCAAGGGGGAAATCCAGCCTTCCCAAGCCCAGATTGAGCAAGGTAGGGAGGAAAGGCAGGCTACACGACAGAGGGAGAAAGGGAAAGGAGGGATGGAAAAAGGCGGAGAGGCGGAGGAGAGGGGGCTTCGCTCTAGCTGTAGAGTCCCCTGTGGCAGACAGACTGGTGGAGTCTCTCTCTCTCTCTCCCTCTCTCTCTTTGCCTCCCACCCTCGCTAAACACTGAGCCATGCACAGCACTGCAGAAAAGCTTGGAGAATCCCCCACATCTTTCTCTCTCTTTCTAGCTATTACTCCCTCACTTCTCTGCAAACCCCCTCCCACTGTCTCTCCCCCCCCATCCTCGGTCTCCCTCCCCTCTCAAAATGCCCCCCCTGCTCAGTAATGCAGAACAGATGCAATGCATACTGCGCAATGTGAGGCTTCAAAGCACCAGAGCGTTTATCACATGGGGAAGGAGACACGGGGTATTAATTTACCAGATTTGGTTCGAGTCTTATTTTTAAATATAAGAGTGAGATTATACGCAGCTGTACGTAGTTCAGTCCGTGATCGTTGTGTTTCACTTCAAAGACCTGCATTGTTCTTGATATCAGCTACTCTCAAAAACAGCAGGTTTCCTGTCTCACTGCTGCAGTTTTTTCGTGCTTAAGAGAGAAATGGGGATGATGGAAGACACGCAGATAAGAGTTTTCAGTGTGAAGCCCACCAATGTACCACCAGCTGCATGGCAACCTGAACGCCATAGCAACAGAGTCACATGGTCCTCTCCATCGTTCTCACGGTGGTCCCCACTCTAAACACGCCGCATCACATCACATAGACTCACAGCCGTGAACAACCACACACACACCTAACACACAGCCTCCAGCAGAGAAGCTCTGCATAGACACAACGAGCCAAGACACACAAACATGGACACAATTCTGAGCGATGAGGGAAAATTATTTTGCCAGTAAAGAAAACATGACTTTATCATGAATACCATGTAATAGTCATGCATCAAGACGACTTTATTTCCTCAAAAAGTAATTGTGCTTTCCCGTGTTCACAGTGCATTCAAACACTATGAGGAAAAAAATCTACCGTTATGCCTGCTGCCACGGCTTTTATTCTTTCCTACAATGGGGTCTTTTCTCTTCATGCTCAACCAGACTCTCTGGTCTCACCAGCTGTCTAATAGCTGTCAAGCAGACAGCTAACATCTACTTGACTCTGAAACTTGAATACCACTTTCAAAGCACTGGCTGCATTCAAAACCCAGACTGCCAGAGGCAGTCCATAAAAATCAAAGAGAGCTCGTAAGGACAAAAAAACGGTGCTTGGAATCAGTTGGCTTTATTCGGTTCAAAGGGAATTGTAATTGATTCTTTAGAGAAGCGGAACAGTCTGGATTTGACTGACCTCTAGGAAATGAATTAGGCACACGGCTACACGTCAGTCACTCAGGGTCACTTGGTTCAGCTCAAACACTGCATAGACTCATGGCACGGTGACAAATCTATGAGTGTGCTCAGGGGAACGGATTGCTCAATGCACGCATTAACTCATACATCCTTTTACGTTTGCAAGGAGCTATCATCATTCTGAATTAACCCTTGAATTAGGCAACCACGAGACGACACATAAAATCTGTGAAAAAAACCTTGTGGTTAGTTCTTAGAAAACGCTGTTGCCTAATAAAGTTTGAACACTTAAATAAGTGCATACTGGAACCCATGTCTTGCAAAAAAGCAAAGTAAATAATATGCTAAGAGGCAAGATTAAACACTGTTAACAAATACACTTATATATATAAAAACTATAATTTAAAAAATAAAAAAAAAGTTTTCAAAAGTTTTATGAACATGCCACCACACAATGAGCTTTGTTTCAGTGAGTTGAAGTCTTTTAAAGGAATTGCATGACTTTAGATCAAATCAATTAATGTATTCTTGCATAAGCCAAGGTTTCCACATTGCAGACCACAGTCAGTCCCACAGCACGATGTGAGCAGCTCACAAGTTAACTCACCATTTTCCAACTTGTAAGCATCTCAAAGTTTCTCTTCTGCTTTTCAGAGCAACATAATCCCATTGTCACTTAACAAAAACCAAACACTGCAACAAAAGAAATCCAGTAAAGGTCCGACAGCGATAACTCTGCTCAGCGTGTCTGAGATTCTGCCCTGCTTCCTCTCTCTATTCTCTTTTCTGAAGTGGCGTCAGGCAGGAAACGTATAGCGATAAAGCTGACTTGACTGACTGGCCTACACAGTCTAACAAGAGATGGATGGCTCCTCCTTCCAACACAGGCCCGAGCATGTGTCCCCACCTACTTCCCTTTTGCTTGATAGAGCAATCCACTGAGGTCATTTACTGGTAGACATCCTGCTTCCTAACATGGCCTCAGGCACCAAACTACTAACATACCTGATTTCATCACCAAAAAGTCCCAGATAACTTGTTTAGCAGAACGCCGCGCTGACACATTGTAGGGGAAAATCACAATTGACATGTTTTTATTCCTCTGGGACAAAATCTCTAAGAGTTTGGACCTCAGCTGAAACAGAGCGCTAATAGAAAGGGGAACAGCTTGTCATAATAATGCAATGCCACAGCGGTGCAATCTGACAAAGCACAGAGTGAACCAACGCTGTCCCACGTGTGGCTGCTTACAGTGTCAACACGCCGTGAAGGATTCTACGGTTAAGTAACATTAGAAAGACACATTTCCTGGAAGGTGTTGATCAGAAGTAGGTAAGAATAGTGTTACAGTGAAAACATGCTTCATATTTTCATTCCTCGTTCTGTCTTATTTTCCATGATGAACGAGCAGAAGATTACAGAGGTACGACTTTTTAATTACGATTAGGCACCATAATCACCGCTGCAGCTCGTCTCATCTCCTCACCACCCTTTCAGTCAAATGGAATCACAGCACTGTAATTTAATGTCCATTACCCCTGCTACAGCTACAGACCCGCCGCTACATCTGTTTCAATAATTTTGTCATTCTTTCCCCTCCGAAGACGGCGGCGGCGCTTCAAAGTCGAAGTGACCACACGTGAGTTAAAGTTTCCTACTCGCTTGTGTTCTGCTCGGGGGCTCGCTCGCAAGCGAACCCGCAGAGCGCTAAACTCATCTAACTGGATTCAGATGGCAGTGTTTGTCCAAGGCCGTCACCAGCATCAGCATGGAAGTGTGGCGAGGCTAATGATAGTGAGAGGCAGGGAAGCAGCTCCCCACTTTGAGGTCACACCGACCAGGCTGGCGGTCAGCAGGCTGTGTGGTCCTGTAGCCCCGGATGCACCTGTGCCCTTGGACACTGAAAGTGGAGACACCCTGGGTTTGATTGTGGGTTCAATTACATCCTCTAAGAAACGGTTCTTTGTCGAAGCCCTTGGTGCAATAATAAAACTGTATTTGACACCAATTCTGCGATAAAACCAGGATGTACCAATAAACCGTTTCCTTCCATCCCTGTAAAATTGCTCAACAATCCAGCACATTGATGAAACTCAGCAGTAACATCATAAACTGTTGACCCCTTCACTTTTGCAAACAGCATTGGTCAACAATGGCACTGGGTCACATTGATAAGAATCTGGCCGTTCTGCTGCCGGCCTGACGGGCTTTGGGCTCATTGTCTTGCCAGTCCCAGTGACGTAGTTGCCCGTAAAGACTCAACCTGGCCGCCTGGTCAACGCACTGCTATTGTCGTCTGGTAACCAGGGAGTAGAGTAGGGGAGGCAGTTGGGGGGGTGAGGGGGTGGGCGCAGGAAATAAAGAGACAGGAAGCTGGTGTCACGGTCACAGTCACCCATCATGGTCTGACAACAGCCCTCCCCATCCCAACCCTCCCTCAGACCACAGTGGAGAATACAGACGGATATGGACAACACCACCCTGGGTGTTTATAATCTGATGTCGCCGTGCTGTCTCCACTGTCTGCGAGGAGGTTGAGTAACAATGTGCAGTGAATAGCAATTTGGCTGAGCTCTGTACCCAAAAAAAAATACGCACCAACATATGCTCGTGTACAAAGCAAGTTAGTTCTGAATAGCTGCTTTGTGAACAAGAAGCATGATGTGTTTATTTAGACATCATGAAACCAAACTGGAAGGCTGAAATTAATTTAAAGAAAATTAAATACCATGTTGGATTAATCAAATGTGTCATACCAACTGATAAGGATGGATTCTTTATCTTATCATTTATTTATTTTGTGCAGATAGTCACAGCTTGTGGAGGATGAATTCAAATGGTTTTGGTGATCTCTGCCTTTTAACATGAAACTAAGACGGTAAACATTTAACGTCAGAAGCATCCCCACCGTCAGCGTGGCATTTAGCTCAAAACACAACGATGCACCTCAGCGCAGCCTCGCTGAGCCGCTAGCAGGGCGCAGGCTCTCAGTCTATAAATAATATAAATAGATTTCAGTGCCTTCAGAAAGTACTTTACCTTGTAAAGGCCCTGCATGGAACACAACATACTGTACTGGGGGTTATCATGGCGTACACTCAAGTACACTCTGCTTCTTTATTGCAGCTGATGCTGTTCATCTGCTAGTGAAAGAGATCTTGAGAATTTATCCACTTGTCACGAGCACGTACCAAGAATATTTATGGCATATAGCTTTCTAATAATTGTGTTGGCATATCTAGTTTGCCAACATGCCAGTTTGTGAAATCAATAATGGAATATACAGTAGAAATACTGTATAGAACCTGGAATTTCAATTAGCTCGCCTCGGCAACACAGAGAGCAGTAAGGACCCAGCGAAATGTTCAGTCAATACTCACTGTTACACACCAATATGAAGTGGAGTACACCTTTAAAGCCAACTTTCCTCCAACAAGTCCTAATTCTCTCCATAAATCTAAAAACTAAACTCTGGACAAACCGATGCCTGTTAGAGAAACGCGACCTTGTATAATGACATCACTTGAGAAAGTGGACCAGTGTCCTACTGGGCTAAACATTACAACAGAGCCAATATCCACACCACTCGAAAGTAAATGACAAACGCATCTGTGTGCGGCTTAAATCATGCTGTATGTCCTTCTGCAGGCCGGCTCGGTTGTATAACATGCCGTGTGTCCTGGATAGTTTGAATAAGGTAAGGAAGTTGAAGCTGCCCAATCCTTCCCACATATGTAATTATGCTATTCAAAGATAAGAGGAAGTCAGTAGTCATGTATGCAAAACAAACATTTTATGCTTTTTCTTTGCAGCAGATCCATAAAATGATTACAGCGGCTCAGACACTTCCACAGAAAGGCTGTCGCTTTGCAAGTGCGTCAGTGCGGCAACTTACAATTTAGAATTTGCATACACTGTGCAAACAGACAACCACACCGCAACAAAGACCAATTATACAGATATGTACAGGCCTGCAAAATCATCGTCATCACAAGTTCAGTCCCAGCATCATGTCTCTGGACAGCACACTACAGAATGTCTACTGTGGCAATAATCCTTTATTGAAATGCTATCAGCTCTAAGACTGACTCTGTTTAATTAGCATTGGTAATTGTGGTTTGGCAGACATACCGCTAGGGTGTCTGTGTGCTGTGTTTGTGGGAGGTCTCACAGTGATCGCTGCTTCAGTGGGTAGAAGACACATTGACAAATAAACATATAAGAGCTTACTATGCTATACGATCATAAATAAGAGTTATTAGGAGCATAGCACTATTTCAAACTTCACATTTTGAGACTGAAGGTTCCTTTGTGAGTTTATAAAATCATCTCAACTCTTGGACTTATGAAATTTTTCAAAACCTGCTGGGGCAACCTTAAGAAGCACTCGAGCTCTAACAGTGTTGTAGTTCCTGTCTTCTGAAAACTTACAGTAATCTGCATTTAAATGTGATCCCATTTCACATGATTCCCTTGAAGCCAACTGTTAAAAATGAAAAGGAAAATGTTCTGGTTTTAGCCCGTCCAGGAGGACAGACGATAAAAAAATACTTTTTTGAACATATACATGCAAAAACTCCCCGGCAACCAATGCACTATTGTCACACTCACATATAATAATGCAGAGTCCCAGTTGTCTTACCTTGTTAGAGGCCATGTCGCTGACAGACCGGTAGGTCTGGATGGTCTCCAACTGGTCCAGACACCAGTCCAGCTCCTCCATGGTCTCCATAGCCAGCTTCTGGTAGGACTCATCTGCCAACAGACACATGGACACGTAATCAGGACCAAGAGGATCCATGTCCATAGCTGAGCCCCCTGACACCATGCGTGGCGGTCCAAGGGTCCCAGAGTGGCTTGATCGTATGGGGGACTGGCAGGCAGGACATCCGGAGGACGCAGAGGAAGAGGGGGAGGTGTGTACACAGAGGTCCTTCATCTCGTTACGCTCCACCACCTCACAAAGTTCAGGGAAGTTGTATTGTCGGACAAACGGAGGTTAGAGCTAGTGTTTGCCGACTCTCTCTCTCTCTTTCTCTGTAGTCTCTTTCTTTGCGTACCCCCTCTTTCCTTTGCTCTTGTGCGCTCTGCAAACCCCCTCCCACTCGGTCTGCTTCTCCCAGCCCCTCTGAGCCTCTCTCTCATTAACTTATCCACTCTCAGTACCACTCTATTGGACGAGTGGCGTGCAAACTAGGCAGTCTGCTGCCTCCTGCTGTTGATGTGTCGGAGACCTTCGCCCCCCCTCCCTCCTGTCCATTTAAACGCATACAAATGGTGTGCACGTACAGGTACAGGACATAATCCACTGCCTTGGTGAAAAAGACACATCTGGTTTTGCTTTTCAACACTCCCTTCACCGTGTTTTCACCTCCAAAAAATGCATTTCTGTGATATTTAATTTATTAGCGCTGTGTGGACCAGAAGAGAAAGGGCACTTTGTCACTGCTGCAGAGACAAATGCTCCAGCTCCCTCCGCTGCCGATGACTTCCTCTCTGAAACATGCAGACCACTTCAAGGCTGTACCCTGCTGAACTGCAGCAGCTCACACCACACCACCATGCTGCACAAACTGGCTCTCTCCTCTCTGAACCTCTCTGAGGGAGGAAAAAAATTATATCAAACACCAAACTTTGTGTTTGCACAAGCAACACGAGAGGCAAATTTTGACTCCCTGAATTGGGGGGGAGGCCAGGCCAGGGCCTCACTGTGTGCCAAAGAAACCAAAGCACTTCCTCCTTGGCCCTGAACTCACACAAAACATGGAGCGGAATTACTGAATGCTGGAGTGACTGCTGAGGACAATCAGATCTGTCATTCGGTGAAGCAACTTTGTCGGTTGCAGCTATGACTCACATGCGGTAGGCACAGTTTTTAGGAGAAAAAGATGGTTTATAAGAAATGCACACGCAGATGATCAAACACGGGAGAACACATTTCAAAAGCATCACAGTCTGATATACCAAGCAGAACGGTGATTCAACAAATTTCTGTCTGGAGGGAGTGAACGCTGAACACATCTGGATCTCTCCACCTTCTTTTTTCTATGGAAAAGACTGATCTCTACTTCATAGGGCTTCACACATGGAAGAAATTTACCCCATATGCTTAGCACAACAGGACAGCCAGCGTGCTGCTCCCCAATTTACGTCAATATAGTGGATCAAAGCACTTCAAAGCACAGCGATGGCGTACAGATTGTGAACCACCGGTGTTTAACAAAGAACTTCAATGAAACCTCAGACGACGTTGCGCAGTTAAGGAAACCTCCTACGACTGAAAGGTATCAGAACAACACCAGGACAATGACTCCTCTGAATCACAAAGGAAAGTGAAGTTTGAGCTGTTTAACTTTACCCGCAGTTCTTAGAAATCATGCCACTGGCTGCTCACGTTACAGAGCTAGACTGTTAGCGCTAGCTCGAAGCCTTGGCTGCTGCAGTATAGAACTGTATGCCAGGTTTTGTGGTCCAAAGTATTCACAGGATCCACTGGCACTCACGCCATGCAAAAGTCACTGACACAGAGCAGAAAGTATAACATCAAAGCAGTTAATGCACAAGGGGGCGAGCTGTTGAAACTGGGTATACACCAACGTGCGGCTGTCTTGGGCGTTGCCAAGAAGGTATGACCACATCCTGCCCCCGTTCCCTCCGATGAGGGTATATAGAGACATTAGACATTTTAACGGGGCAGTCGGGAAGCATCAAAGGCTTGGACCGTCCACATCGGCCGTATGATCGAAATTCAGGTCATTTTGCAGCTGGCGGCTGAATCGTAGACACGGTCCAGAAAATCATAGTAAAATGGTAGATGTAGGCTGCAGAACAAAAGCTCTCTGGTTCTGGTTCCTGGCTTCAAACCACTTGGCTCCCGCAAGGTCACTGAAACAAAGCTTCAAGCAATCATCTATTGTGTTTTTTACAACTGATAATTTCTTAGAAAATCTGGAGCCACGATTCTCCAACTTGAGTCAATCATATTTGTGAGTTGAAGACCTAAATAAAACAAAGTTATGCACACGCACGCACTACGGGTAGATGGAGTGCTGAACCCATCATCACCTTTCGTTGATCATAAATACGGCGCTAAATGGGCTGACATTTCACAATGTCACCAGTCAAAGGTGGCGTGACGCACTTTGAGTCTGAAAAACCTGCTGCCAGACAGAGTGTGAGGTACTTTTCCAGCCTGTTTTCTCAGCAGAAGTCTTTTTTTTTTGGTGAGTTCTAATGCATTGGCCATATGCTGGAGGCTGCAAAAAGGACAACAGACCTCAGTGTGCAGACAGACCCTGTCTGCCTCCCCTCTCTCCCCCTTCTCCCTCTATCTCTCTCCCCTGTAGGGCCACAAACCAGCTTCTGTAAGAGCCATCAACTGCGCTAACGACCAGGGCTGGGCCCAAACCTCCATTCCCGCCGAGACACCTTCCGCTTACATCCACCTCACACTGCCCCTCTCTGTGTTCTCTACCTACCCCCAAAACCTGTTTCCTTCGCTGTCTGGCTGGAACTCAGTTTGCAGAACTGCACCGTCGCATCTCTTGTAGCAACTACAGCAAGGGATGGATGAAGTATTCAGATCCTTTACTCGAGTAAAAGTAGTAATAAGACGATGGGAGAAAAAAAAACAAGAAAAATGTTGCTTTCGAAGTGCAGATGTATATAAAAATGTACTTCAGTTTTACAAGTTAGTGTGCACAGCATACAGAAGGCTTTATTCCTATTCGGTTTGCATCACTATTGCAGGAACATGTAGGCAGGATTTGAATTGTATAGCTGGTAAAGCTACTTTATGGACAGGTATTTATATAAATATTATTCATATTTTATCATCTTGAAGTAACTATTAGTATACTACTATATGGAGCTGCCCATTTCCCTCTGCAATGTAGCGATTTCGACGCATTACGTAGGATAAAATGGAAAAACTGAAGTAAAACACCAGAACTATACTTTAGCCTTCAGTAAATGAACTTTGTAACTTTCCAGAACGGGTTTATGTGTGTAAACAGCTTTACAGGTTTCACGTAAAGTTGAGGTTTTTATGTAGTATTTCAAGTTTTACTGTGAGGTCAACTTTAAGACAGTGACTAATAGGGTTTAAGTTGTGCTTATTCATACTAATATGACTTGTCGGGGAATAATGGGGCCAGTAACGACCGAGGGTCAATGAAACAGACTTGAGTCACCGCCACCAGCTGAAATGTAAACACCTGTGAGCCGTCCGCATGTACGCAAACAAACACATTCCTCATGTCAACCTCACCACATGATGAAGGAGAAAACGCGCGCTTCGACATTGATACGTGCACGTACTCACTGTTGTTAGTGTTTGACTTCGCGCTACACGTGGAGGTTGGACGGGAGGGGCGGAGTGGCGGGGCAATGATTCACCTTTGTATCACCACCAATGTACGTCAGTTTATTCACAAGTGCAGAGAAGGAATAAGGGAATTTCACAGACTGAGACAGAGGGGGGAGGAAAAAAAACACAAGAAACGTCTTACTTTTTTTACTCAAATGTTTGTCTGATCAGACGGCAACACAAAGGGAACAGTCATATCAGTTAGCAGGGTGGGGAAAACACTTGCGTAAACATCTTAACCTTCGCTGACTTGCCTCCTGCTAATGTAACAGTGTGCTCTTTCAACAAACTTTGCACTTTTTGTCAACCTTGTGCATACTGTTTTTAATTCAGAAATGTCAGATTTTCAGATTTTAGAGACTCTTAGTACTTTATAATCTCATTTAGCAGCTGGTACTAAATTAATAATTTATAGGCCTATATTTAAACAGTGAGAAATCAAAATTTTTATAGTTTTATTTTCTTTTAGAGGATTAAATATGAACCTGGAGTGCTTTCTGTATTTATTTCTTGAAATTAAATCCAGCATTGGGCTGCTTATTTTGAAGGCACTTCCATATTTATAGGTTGAAAGCTAATTACACTGTATTTTATTGACCTTTTATCTCACAACTTGACTATCTGGTGATGAATTGCTAGTATTTTAGAGTGTTTCTGCGTGTGTGTGTGTGTGTGTATAAATCTCATCTAATCATGAAGACTGGTACCAGACTAAAAATATAACACAGTCACAGAAACAGATGTTTGTTCCTCATTTACGTCGAGCTACACTTTCTGCTGCATGTGTTACTTTGATGCCACCTGTATGAAACAAGAGGCTTGTATAACTTAATAAGTGTGTTGTCCCCTTTTTTTTGTTTCTCTTCACAGCTTTCAACAATTGTTGACAATTGTTGTCGACTCTGAGGTGCGGTGGACATTTACGGTAGGTCCAACCCCCGAAACCGCATTACCTGTCTTTGTCTTCTCTCACAAACAGCCTTCACATCTGATTATGTCTCTTCATAGTGTACAACTATTATACCCTCATCACTTATAAAAACAAAAGGCCACACACACACACACACACACACACATATATATGAACACACACACACACACACTCATCTCATCAGGGCCTGTTTGACAGCTCCTTCACAATGCACCATGGAGCTGTGTTGGCACGGGCTAGCCTGAGGGATGGGCCGCAGTGAGGTTTATGACTGTGCTGACGTCAATGACATAATTCAAATACTTAACCAGGCTGCACGCTTCCAGCCCGCCGGATCCTCTCCTCTGGCTGCGAGCCTGGAAAACCTGAAATGGAATCCCGCTTTGGAGCAGAGTAACTAGCTGCAGACTGCCCCGACTGAAAATGAGAGGTCACATTTGTTCTGGCTATCAGTTCGTGGGTCAGCTAACTGTCCATGTGTCCATCCACCTGTCTGTTTATTCATTGTTTTAAACGTGAGAGCGTAAACATTATCCCACTGACACTTGATGGTGGATAACCAAGTATTCAAGTGTCTGAAAAATGAGAAAAAGCTGCCAAGATTATTTGCAAGTCATTTCACTGCCAATAAACTTAGAACAAACCTGCAACACAGGTGGCTCAGGCACATTTGGTTTGAAATGCTTAACCTTATATTGTACTCAGATATTAATTACAGACTCAACTGATTGCCCTTTCCTGCCCTAATTCAAAAGTAATTACGCCTTGATAATTGGCATCAAAGTGCAGATTGCAGGGGGGAAAAAAAAACACACACAAGCTCTTCCTCCTTCTTGAGTTTGTCAGCATAGCTGGTTTCACATACGTCTGTCATTTCTTCCCTTTCAGGAAATGTTTACAAAAAGAGACAAAAGATGAATGAGCAACGCTTATTGTGTGAGGCTTCATGCCCTGGGCAGCATACGCACAAAGTCACGTGTCCGTTTGGTTTCGAGGCGAAGAATGTCGATGTCTGAATGTAGCCGTGTGATGCATGAGTTCATTTTTCACAGTTCAAAATGCATCAGATTCCTGGAAACTGGCTCACTGAGCAGCTGACACACGCGTCCTTCAGTGACAGGGCCAGCAGTTTAATTGTCAGCAACAGCAACATCAAATATGAGGAAATGCAAACAGACTCACTTCAAGCGTATTAAGTGTTTAGCATTTGTACGGTGATATAAACGTTGGTCCCAACGGCTCTGTCAAGGAAGCCTTACACAATGGAGCTGAACCCTTTTTACGTGAAACTTGAATGACGTGGAAAAATGTCATAATGCAATATTATACTGAAAATGCAAAATGATGTATCTCAGCTACAGTAATTTATCCTTGAGCAATATGCTGAAAAACAGCTTAACTCTGACCTACACTAGACTTAGAAACAGTTTAAAGGAATAGTTCAACATTTTGAGGGATGCATTCCTTAATAAGCATCAGTTCCCATTAAATATACGTCTATAGTCGCCAATCATTAAGGCTAGCTTAGCATAAGAACTGGAAACAGGTAGAAACAGCTAGCCTGACTGTGTCCAAAGACAGCAAAATACCAGCAAGCATGCCATGAACCATGAAGCATCTTGCTGGTAAAATACATACACTCACAAAAAACAGAAGCATAAAAACAAGACTAATAGCAAAAGCATGAAATATCACGGTCAAACATTTTGCCAGAAGCAAGTATAAAGATCTATGAAAGATAAAAGCTGTCTGATTATAAAACGTGTGGTCTTGCTGCACTTTTTTTTCCAGTTCCTAGTGGGTCAGAAGTTGGAAACTGCAGCACGCATCCTGGCTAATTTGTATTTTATCATGTTAATAAGTGACTTGGAAGCTTCGTGTTTTCCTTGTTGCTAGTGTTTCAGGTAAACTAACCTCAACGGACGCTTGTTGCCGCTTTATATTTAGACAGACACAGACATGCAAGTTGTATAGATTTTTTCTTCTCCGTTTTCTATGTTCTATGTTGCTTCATGGAAAATGTAAATTGTATTTAGTGGAGCTTTGTGATATTTATCATAGTTCATTTACACAAAATCCCATTAGTTTGTGTGTGTTTTTCTGCTATGAGTTCAGTCTGCTCATGTTGATTTGGTTCAACAATAAACATTAGACAGTAAGCAGGAAAACATATACATTTGTCTCAGATAGTGGGTCAAATCTACAGTCAGCTAAAGTGTCCTTCTTTGACCCCCAGGCCTCGCTGTGGCCAGCGCTGCCTTAAACATTTATCTCTGAGGGCATTGTGTAAACATTAATTTCTGAAGGCCAGTCAAAGGGAACATTTGGTCTCAGAACATCGTGAGGCTTCACGTCCGCTACTTGGACACACAGCTAACCATATACCCCGGGGGTTCCCGACCATCTGTGACAATATTCAGCTAACGCTAGCGATAACCGTTACAGATTAATCACCGGTCCTTGACGGTCAAAGACGTCAGAATCAAGCGTTTTCCTCAAAAGCGCCATTTATCTGGCGCAATGTGGAGCAAAGCCTATAATCTGAATCAGTGAGGGAAGAGTGAGCCCTTTGTTGGCTGCCGGGCTCACGGGACTGCGTGTGATGGGGCCAGATTGGTTTATGAAGCATAAACTGCAAACTCATATGAGGGAAACTACAATCCCCTCACGTTACTGGAGTAAGATGTTTAACAGCGTAAACAGCCAGCAGTGACGCATTTGCAGTTGAGCAGATCTTTAGTAAACCTCCCTCCCTCCCCCCCGCCGCCTTTTTGCTGTTTTTTTTTCCGTCTACTTGTGCACTTTCACCCACTAGCTGTGGTCAGTTTGTTTCATTAAACGTGACCTGGTTCTGTTGCTCCTACACTGCATCTGATTAAAAGGGTTAAAAAGCGGTGACGTCTCTCTCTGACCTTTGCTGTTTCCTTTCTTTCCTATCTCACGCCAAACAGCAATCTGCCAACTCTCTGGTTCTCCCCCGAAGCCGCTCTCTCTACCTCGTCTTCTTCTTCTCTCTTGATTTTAATTGTGTTTCACTCCATTTCACTGTGTCTGTCAAATCCCTTTATAGAGGTATTTAAAGTTTTAAAGTGCCTACTCCGTCGACGCTGAGCTCACACACACAGAAAGACGCAGGTACTATCTTTTCCACTACTGGGGGACGCTGCCTCATTGAAAACAGAGACGCAAAACAGGAAAAATCTGTTCTCCTTTTCCGGTCAAAGAGAGAGCAACACAAAGGAGGATATGAGGGCATCTTTCATTGTGATATTGTTAATTGTTGCAAGCTCCTCCTGAACCCCCCCCCCCCCAAACAATCACGATTATTTAGCGGCAGGTGCACCATATACGTGCTTGTATCCTTGGGGAAAGCAATGACGGGGGGATAATGCCACAGTAGAGCTGGAGTGAAATTCAGTAGAGTTAATCTTATTTGTTTTTCTTATGCTATCCTCCAGATGCGTCACGATGGAAGCCGACGAGAAGGTTTCACTCGTCAGAAGCTGCTCGGATAAGGTCAAGGTTTGTGAGAAGTGTGGAGGAGGAAGGACAATAAGAGCATCACAGTTGTCTTGTATTTTTTCCTGCTGTGGGACACTCCTCGCAGTCCATCTGTGCTGATAGGAAGCGGAGAGCACCCATGCTGACGTCAATGGGGCTTGAAGAACCAGTGCAGCAGGAACCAATATCGCCACCCCCTTCTTTCACTCGTCCTTCCACTCCTTCCAATCTATTTGATTTGCATCTTAAGCAATAAATATTTTGCGCCGTTCTCACCCTCCTTCCTTTCTTTCTGCTCATTTGTAACGTCAACATATGGGACTTTTTAAGTTGTTATCAAGCCCTAGTTTCGTCTATCAAAAGATTACAGCTATGTGAAAGGGCTTCCAGATAGCAGAGTCTGTGCTGACAGTGTAAACTACGCAGTGTTTCTCTGGGAATTTACATGAGGCTTACACAGCTCTTCTCAAAGTATATCCGCAGTAATAAAGCATTTGCATGCAGGAAACAATAAGCTAATTGTAAATGTGTGTTTGCAAAAGGCTGCACAAGTATGAACGGGTAATTCACTGCATGCCACTGTTATTTAATTTATGCAAAACGTAAAAATGTTGTTGACAGCCGTGGAGAGTCTGCAAGAATTTAGGTACGTGCAGGAGGATTAAAACAGTTTACTTGTGGATTGCTATCTGTCTTTTTGGTATCTGTCTCATCTTTTAGCAGGGCATTGTTCTCCAGAAGCAGCTGAACTTGACTTTTGACTCCTCTGAATTTGCACCATTACCACAGTATAAACAACACAGAATCACTGAGCACTGTATGAATGTCACAGTGTTCCACATTTTCCAGAGCATTTTATTTTGATGACGGGCGGTACTGAACTCTCCTTTCTCATATGCTGGAGGGCTTCTGAGCGTACTCACCAGACAGACAGACTTTGGTGGCGCAGGGCTGATTTGCAGCAGGAGACCTCCTGTAACAGAGAAACAAGTCAGAAAGTATTAAAATCAGGAGTCCAGATGTGTAACAAATGCTTGTATTATTATCTTTTTTTTTTTCCACAGTGTGATTTGGTTTCAGCAACAGCCTTCGTTGCCAGAGCGCAAACACAAAACAGATGCTCCCTCGATTCTCTGAATTGGTCTCAGGCTTACAGTGACCCTTCTCTCTGAGGTCGTATTGACTCAGTGTCCACCTCCGGCACACTCGATGCAACTGCACCGGCTGACCCAATTCACCGATGGTGCACTCTGATAAGCTGACTGCCTCTTTCATCGAAAAACGAAATTTTAAAAGTCACTGCGTCTCATTTAGAATTTCAGTGCTGCTACGACTAGATGTTTGAATTTATGCATTGTTTAATGTGAGTATTTTCTTCTCACAGTACAAATGTTTTTGATGCACTGGCGCCCCCAAGTGTTGCATGTAGGCATATCCATCCCTCCATTATCTATACACCGCTTAATCCTCACCAGGGTTGTGGGGGGCTGGAGTCTATCCCAGCTGACTCAGGGTGAAGGCAGGTTCACCTGGACAGGTAACCAGTCTATCACAGGGCTACACTTAGAGACAGACAACCAAGCACACTCACATTCACACCTGTGGACAATTTAGAATCACCAATTAACCTCAACATGTTTTGGACTGTGGGAGGAAGCCGGAGAACTCGGAGAGAACCCACGTAGAAAGATCCTCACTGGGACGTGAACTGGCGACCTTCTTGCTGCGAGGCAACGATGCTAACCACCGAGACACTTTGCAGATGTTGGTATATTAACATTCTAAACATGCTGTATTTCAGAACACCAACATCCACTTGCAGATTTTTCACAATCACGCTGTGGATTTTTGCCAGTGATTTGTATCAGCATAAACAACAAACCGATATTGTAGAAACTTAATTGCATCGCTGAAGGCATTTTGTAGAATCTGTCTTAAAAAAAAATAGGAAGATGTTAAAAAACAAGTTGACTTACTTATTAGATGCACACTGCACGTTTGTCAAGGTGGTGAAGTTGTTCCTAACAGTCCGAAGGCTGGCCAGAACCTAAAATGAAGTTTAAAAAAGAGGGTTAAAAGATGAAGCTGCAAGTAACAAAAGTTGAAATGTGAGAATTAGATGGAAAAGCAAAAATTTATTACAATTAGAGTCTCACTAGAGAGTTGAGAGACTAGACCCAGTGTGACGGCCACAGGCCTTGTCAGTGTGTTTTCCTGCCTCTGCTTCCCTTTTCCCAGTCTGGATGACCTGCCCCTCCCACTTCATTAAAAGGATTGGCCTCACCTGTTTTGTGCCTTTAAAAGCTGGGTAAATTCAAGATGGCTCTCTCTCTTCTTCCTCCTGGAAGGCTGGAGCCTTTCAGGTCTCTCTTGGTTTGGTTTGATTTGATTATGTTGAGTTTAGCCTGGGTTTGTAGACCTTATCATTAGTTTTCCTTTGTTGAATGTTTTCAATAAATTACTCATTTATTTTAAAAGCTGTTCCCGTGTCAACCTCCCTTCTTTGTTATGCTCTTCAGCGAGCTGGGCATAACACCAGTGACAACGTTTAATTTTTGTTTCTTCGCTGCACAGAGTGAAATACGTGCACGTTTTTACGCTAGAATTGTTTTTACATTCATCTGTGGAAGAAGGAAGGTTTCACTGTACTCACCTTAAACTAAAATGTGCACAACTCAGCTTTATTTTATGACATAATCAGTTGCCAATTATGATCCACTGTCGTTAACAATGTAAGCAAACTGGTTTGGGATCTACACATTAGGCACTGAATATGTTTAGATGTCGCATAACATATCTGGAGGGAATCTTTAAGTTACCCTAAGAATAAAACTAACTTGATTTACCAAGCAGACCTTGTATTGCCTACTTATTGCCACCAGGGGGCAGAGAGGTTAATCAACACAAGGTGACTCAGTTACTTTGTGGACACACCAGCAGCTTTACATCTAAAAGCTCTTGGGAAAAATATAGTGTTTTATTCAGCCCTCAACAAACTGACTTTGATGTTCTCTGGAGTAGATTTATTGACTTTTGATCTGCTCTTACCTGAGCAAATGGAGTCACAATCAAGTCCTCTCCATGCCTGGAACGAGATGTGATGAAAGCAAAGACTGACAGTCATTAACCAACAAACAAACAAGCGGCTGATCAGTGAATCTGTTGTGATGAATGGGGGACGCAAACAACTCACAATTCTCCAACAATGGAAGAGTTTCTAGACAAGGACTTTGGGGACAATTCATAGTCGCTATCCGAGCGGTACAGGAAGGACTCTCGGCGCTGGCCGTGGCCCGCCAGGTTGGGGTGTAGAACCAGACCAGAACCGGGGGACGCCTGCGGGTCTGAAGGACTGCAGCACAACGACGGGCCATTCTCCACTTCAAAGCTATGAGAAGGAACAGATAAACAACAATGAAGTGAATGGTTGTGGATGATCCTAAAATCATATGAATTGTTCTATTGAATTACTGGATTTAAACGTCCTGAAATCAAAAGTTTAAAGCATTACCTTCATCATATCTAATCATTTATATTTGACTTTCAAATCACCATCATCATCGTGTACAAAGTGCTGTCAATAAGCTGCCGCTAAGCACTGGGTTGCACAACATGTTTATAAATCCCATCCAGGAGAGAGAGATGGTTGCATAAACCCTTGAATGATTACTCACCCATTCATCCATGCCCAAAAAAAACAATACTATTGTGCCCATTAAATAAGCATGCTTTGCTGGTCAGCGAGTGAAGGGGTTGTTTTACTGCGATCTGCTGGTCTGGTTTGTGTCACTGTCCATTCCAGCTCCGTTCATACTCAGCAGCAAGAAACTGCCACACAGAGAGAGACGAGCTCCTTTCAGCGGGATGTCATTTATATTTTACTGACTTTGTTTACCTTTATAGTGACAGATGCGTTCTGCCGAACCAGGTAGGAAATTTGTGTGCTTGCATTCAGTCTCTATTTTGCTTTGTTGTGTTCGTATCTTTCTATCAATCAGGGAACGGCGAATAAGAACTCACAGCTAAATCAGGAACAAGCATCTCCTCTCATTGTTTGAGATGAATGTTTTTGTTCATGGCGCCTGACAAATAAATCTAATAACATAAATTCATTTTAAAGGAAAACAGTCTATTCCAACATATTGCAGAATGTATGGCCTGTGCTACTCGACAATATGCGTCCCTGGGCTTTTACAAAACAATAAAAGAAATGTACAGACACAGAAGAGCAAATAAAAAACAGTGGATGCCCTTCTAGCCGCCAGTGTGCACGTCAAGAGATGAAGAAATGCTGTGATTTTATACATACAAGTTTATATCATCTGTACACACAACATCCTTTCATTTGTTCAATGCCAAAGTCAAAACCACGGCGGATGCACAGACGGACGTAATCTGTTTGTCATCATGGAGTGGATGCAGCAGGAGAAGCACGAGCTATTGTGTAACCAGATGATAAGGTCAGATGGACCGAAGCTGTGAGGTTAAAGGTTAAAGTATCAATGCCCAAGTGGAAACACCAGATGCCACAAACCATGAATTAAAAAGTAAGTCTCAGTACAGCTGAAATGGTAAAAAAACTGACAAAATGAGCCACATTAAATCTCACTATCATCTCCTTTATTTCCACTTGGCACTAGACAACTCTTGCACAAACGCCACTTTCAACATTTGCCCCACATTTTCACCCGCCTCTGTAATTTGTGCTGCATGTGGGATTAACTGGGCACATGTCCCACTGAGACACTTAGTCCCACACCTCTTGCCAGAGAAGCTCAGATTAATGTGAAATGTGCAAACTCAGATTACACACATGCGGGACCATCAGCGTCATCCGTGCGCTGCTTTGCGTCATTCAAATCCCAACTTAACACAACATTGACAACACACTTTACCTATAGCATCCTAATCCATTAATCTGACCCCTGGCAGGAAACCGCAGCATATTAACGCACACTTTCTGTACATCCAGATAAACTGTAAATCTCAACCGTCTGATGGAGCGGATGAAGGATGCGAATAAATCTCTCTTGGCAACGCACGGCGAGGTTTTGACTTACTACCAGTGACGCAACTGTTCCTAAACATTGATGAGTAGAAATAAAGAAAGACTCCAGAAGTTTGCAAATAAACACATTTTAAAGGACTGTCAAAAAGTCACCTGGGAGCTGAAAGGTGCGCTCTGCTGACCACTTCCTCGCTGAAGTCAAAGTGCCCGGCCCTGCACCTTGGGGACCTCCGTAACATTCTTCTGTCCCTTCCACCTCCTCCCTCCTCGTGGAGCAACAAAAAACACACTGACGCTGCTCACTCATACGCTCGCCGACAGACCCCCTTTCTGTCCAGTAACAGGCCACGTGCTGGAACAACGTAGGCTTGGCAGACGCTTACAGGCAGATCTGGGCTGGAGCGCAGGGAACGGACTGGCAGCCGCTCTGTTTATCTGACCGCCTGTCCTTTTTTCTCTCTATATTAAAATACCGCAGATTAGTCGGTGTGTTCCATCATCCCGCCCGCCCTTCCACTTGGCAACCTTTGACGTCCAAGTAAAAGCATATGGACGAGATTTTACAGTGGGACGGGGGTATGAAAGGTGAAGATCCAGATTTTCACTCATTTTCTCAGTTTAGAGATTATCACTAATATGCATTAAGTGCAATGTACACTGTGCATAACTCACAGGACGAAAAAAATCATCAGTAGTATTTAGAGCCACTTGCCCACGACTTTCAGGTCCCATCACATCTTCTTAGGTACTTGAGATATGATCAAGCCCATTCAAAAGGTTTATTTTGTCCTCTTAACTATTTAAACAACACTGGGAATAAAGGGCAGTACAGTGAGGGTGCAGTTCAAGCCTCCTGTAGTGAAATGGAGAGACAGAATTGAAAAACTAACAGGCTAAATGAAATGACCCAAGATGTGCCAGGCGCCGTGGAGTTTTATTACATTCCAATATGATTACCAAAACCATGTAAAGAAATCTAATTATGACTCACAGAGCTTCCCGTCTTTTTTCTGCTATCCTTACAAAATGACCATCTACGATAAACCATAACCTAAAATAACATCCACGTTCTAGTTCTGTCAGAGGACCGGGTATTATTAGCACCATTCTGTGTAAACACGACACTTTGCTGGTGTTTATACGCTGTATGTCTGAGTTGATTTAACACTAAAGCTCTCTGAATAGACCCATAAGCCTGTTTGCCTGGGTGACATGTGGAAGACTGAGGAGAACCAGAGCCTTCTGTTATTATCTGACTGGAAACAGGAAGGAAGAAACAGGCTTGTCTTTGTAACCATGAGCCCTGCAAAATAAATATAGACGGTGGAGTCCAAAAGTCTGAGGCCACGTTGATGATATTTTTCCAATTAAGCATGAAAATAATCAGAAACGTAGACATATTAAAAACATCTACAAACACGAGTCCTTCTCCGGTCATTCATTAAAACCCCCAAAGCTCTGTGTAGCAAAGACATATTTCAGTTTCTTCCTGTGGGGAAAAAAAAAAAAACCCTTTCTGCTATACAATGCCTTTAACTGCTTAATCGCCTCTTTCAGACGTGTTCCCCCCATCCCTCTGCCGCTTGCTGTAGCTCGAGCACACCAGCTCACCTACAACTCTTTTCAAACTATGCAACACAATTTCACGTTGTACTATTTGAACCAGAAACTGAATCAGAAGAAGATTAATGATACAGAAAATCCCACCCCGCAAGTTGACAGGATTCAGTCCTTAGGTGTGTTAAATATCCATCCATCCATTATCTATACACCGCTTAATCCTCACTAGAGTCGCAGGAGGGCTGGAGTCTATCCCAGCTGAACATGTTTCTGGACTGTGGGAGGAAGCCGGAGAACCCGGAGAGAACCCACGCTGCACGGGGAGAACATGGAGAAAGATCCCGGGTGTCCTCACCAGGACGCAAACCAGCAACCTACTTGCTGCGAGGCAACGATGCTAACCACCGAGCCACCTTGCAGCCCTTTGTTAAATATGAATCCCTGATTTCTGAATCAGTGTTTTTGAGACAGTCATAGGTACACTGCAGCTTTAAGGTACTGTTTATTTTGCTCATGATGTGTCTTCTAGTTTATTTAAACACAATCAACACCTTTAAAATTTCTTTCTAGGTCATACTAAAGCAAATTAGTGGCCATGCTAGGTGCTATTCCACTCATAAAGGCCCCATTCAGACAACACTCAGGTGGATTAAATCAACTTATTAGAGACTTGTTTAATGAACTTAATCTGCAGCCACAGTTTACTTGTCATAAATAAAGCTGTGCCTCATGTTTTTAGCAGAACTTTACTCAGCAAGTAGCATTGTGACAGTGGGAAACATGGGATAGGATATAAGTGAGGGTGTCAGGAGTCAAATAGCTATTCTAACAAAGCAGGGCTGCAGGTTTACCCCAAAGGGGCAGTGCATGGCTCTCTAATACACTTGGTACAAACTGGATTGTTTGTATTCAAAGCACGACCAGAAGTGACCACACCATCAGGAGATCAATGCATCAACTTTTGGTCACTGGGGAACAGAAAAGCAATTTCATCAAATACCGAATTTGCTGAATAAAGAACACAAGACTCCAATCAGCACCAGTCCTGTCAAAAGAGGGCTGTCCAGTCGTGTCTCAGGAGGACGAGAAGCGTCTCTAAACCGCTTGTCATCAGGGGAAACGAGGCCAAACACTGGAGATGATGGGCTAAGATACGCCAGCATTTCACAGAAGATGATGGAAAAAGGTTGTATTTACTGATAAAATAAAGTTTGAGATTAGCGGCAGTAACGGAAAGGTGCATGTAAGGAGACAAGCGAGAGAGAAAATTATACATGGTGGTAGCAAAACTCAAGTCTGCAGCTGGACACATGCTCTCAAGCAACTCTGCCCTGACGAAGGAGAAATAACACTCCGTTCTTCTATGATGTCAAACACATAAAAGCTTTGCAAGAACCAGACGAAGACTAAAGGAGATCAAGGACTGCTGACAGTCACGTACTTTACTCCACAGTCTTTTGACCTCAGACCAACTGAACATTTATGGTGCACACGAAGACTGAGGACACCAGACGTTACTGACATGACAAGAAGCTCTTTGGAACATTGTCAGATCATGCTGGGGTAACATGTGTTGTCAGGTTTTAACAAATCTGTGGAGCTAAAGCAGCTCGAGGGCTGAAGGGTGGCTAGCAACTAATAAGACATTTACAGTTTTAACCTGATATTATCATTTGTAATAAAACGCATTTAAATTCAAAACCAATACAAGTCAGAAGCATCTTCACGAGCGGTCTCAGACTTTTGTATCCCACTGCATATTCAAAAACAATGCAGCCTACTACATGCACCAAATCCAGAGAATAAAACAGTAACTGAAATAGAAAATGAATAATCATAAGCGTTTTATTCACATACGTCCCAGAAGAAGAACTCCTGGCACTTAGCTCTGCACAGCATGTACTTTCCGATGTTTCGACAACAGAAACATTTATGATGAAATAACGTACCAAGAGCGAATTTCATCATCTGAATGTTACGACACACACAAAGTAGCACCGTAGCACCGTAGCTACAGGTGCTGCTCCTTTCTACTCACCAAACATGGCCTAGGTGCATCTGCCTATCACTATGGTCCATCTCGAATGAAGGATTGCTCCCGTTTCGCTCTTCCCAAAAGCGCTGCAAAACTCCAAGACACAAACCTGTGATTTTGGGCCATATAAACAAATGTGACTCCACTGTTGAAATCCCCAAAACTCTTCACGGGTTAATTTCACTTTTTCCGCAACATTGATTCCCTTTGATAAATATCCTCGATGGGTTCGAACTCACCCTGAAGCAAGAACACTTTTTACAACCCGGAATAAAGCACTACGAAAGAGGCGTCTGTATTAGTGTGAAAAAATCCCCACCATACTCATACTCATACTCTAACTATTCACAGCGCAACAAATTAATGCAGGTGAGTAACTCCGAAGAGATCCACCAGACCATACCAATCAAACCCTTACCATGCGTTGGCTACAGTGAAGCGTCTGTATCGATGCAGACGCTTGACCGTCATCTGCTTGCGAAAGCGTCTTGGTGAGCTGTGTGGCGAGAGTTTTTGGCCGGCAGCGCTGCAACAGTCAGCCTGGTTCACCCTGAGCCCTTTGAATTCTCCACTAGCTTCCATAACTGTGTCTGGATGGTGAGAACACTTTCCCAGCATGTAAAAACTACAAACAGTTGAGATGTTTAGAAACCTATCACAGCCTCACTCACTGGTTTTTAGGGTAAAAAAAACCCAAAAGAGATTTACTATGCTATACTCGGGTAATAAAAAGCAGCACTAAAGACAGGATCGCTCCTTCCCTGAGAATAAACTCATGATACGGTACTAAAATATTCACTGGCAAAGGAATATGACCGAGCTTCTGAATGATCTGATTGGTAGATATCGCCCCCTGTGCAATATTTATAATGCAAATCAAACTGGACACAAAGCATCATCGGCATGCTGACTGCTTACCCAATACCGGCTGGAAAATAACGCAATGGGGCAACCGCGGTGTCGCGTAATAAGCAGAGCAAAAGTTTTTTAGCTCTTGAACTTTATTCCAGCTGATGAAAGCTTTTTAAGCAGCAGTACGGTTATAGAGATGAAAGCACCAGATGAAAGAGTCAATGGACAATACATCTGTGAAGAGAAGCCCTAACTATGTGTAGTTTAGTGGGCTGAGTCACGGTGGATCAAAGAAAAGAGGATACATGTGGCAAAATGCTTTTCAATAATGTAAAGTGGTAGACATCAGAAAAAATACCTTTTTTTTTCAATCTATTATTTATTTCCTGCATTAATGCCTGTACTGAGCAGCAGTCTATTGTATCGTGCCTCGGAGGAATAACCAAAAATAGCAGTAATCAGTTAAATGGTTGCCAAATCCTTTTGTACCATCTGATATCTTAGAAATGAACTCTGTGTTCTTTCACCAGGGCACTGGTTATATTTAAACGCTGTGAGAAACAAATAAAACAAAGAAGAAAACAAGGTACTGAAAGCTGAAAATATAAACGCCAACATTGGTACTAATCTGCAAATCTAATGTCAGAGCGAGATGGGAGACGACACCAGCCTCCCACTGGTACCGATACACAAGCTGTCCCCAAAAAATGCTGCTTCTCTCAAGACACTGAACTGTTACCAAAGCAAAACAAAACCTAAACATAGTTCTGGAAAACTAAGCACAAAAACTGCAAACCGCATACAAATGAAATATGCACAAACATGCACAACAACCACGGCAGCAGTGATACCTCTGAATATGAAATGCACATGAAATCCTGTGGCAGCTGTTTTTCAGAGCCTCACCTGTCAGGGTCGGCCTGCGTGATGTCGATGCGAGGCAGGGAGGCGATGGGCAGGCTCGTGGGTCTGGTTCGGGTCACCGGATCTTCTTCTGGTGTGAGCGGCCTGGTCCTGTAGCTCTCCTTTTCTGCCTGTCGCCATGACAACGGAGGCAGCTGCAGGTTGCCAGAGAACCGCCTGTGGACTTTGCACACCTCGACCCCGAGGGTGCAGCCGGTGGAGAACTGTCCCACGGGGGGCTCCTTGTTCTCCTGGCAGACGAGAAGAAAGGAATTTTTGCCATAAACTGGCTTAACTGAAGATGAGAATCGACATGAAGAAAGTACAATTAAAATGTTCGCATCAGATCAGCGTGCTGAGTGTAAAACAGCAGATTACACAGAAATAAAAATCTCTATAAATGAAATCGTTAAAATGACAACAAGAGTTATGAAATGCATAATTGAAAAGGATTTGGATAAAAAAAGATTAAAGAGACCAGTTTAGCACACATAAACATGACTGTGCTAGTGACTCAAACGAGCACAAATGTGTCATCGCTAACTCGACAAGCTGCCTGCCCTGCACGCATCCCTTATTCAAAGTGCATTTTTGTTTTTAATGCTCTTCATTCCAAACAATTAATTAATTGTTTCAGGCCCTTGACACTGCCAATTGACATTTCTATGAGGCTGAGCGGAATAGAAATTCCGTGTTTAATGTCGTTTGTGTTAATGTGAAGGTTCCGGTAAGAAGCACGAGTCCTTCACTGGAATGACGAGTTGTAAACAAGCCGTGGCTCTGAGGAAACACAAGTGGGCTGCCGGAGCTCGTTCTGCACACATTTCTCTCCGACTTTATGTTCAATGAATGCAAGAGAAAATGGCGAAATGTTTCAAATGAAGCAGGAAACACGGAGGCGCAACGACGATGATGATGAGGGTGGAAAAAATGGGGAGAGATTGAGGAATTCCTAGAACGTGGCTGTTGCAAGGGAAAGAATATTTGTCTTGTTTACTGTGGGTGCAATGCAGGAAACTAGACGGAGAAGATTGAGTGAGAAAGAAAGAAGCTGACAGCAAGTGAGAGGGCGTGAGAAGGAGAAAGCTACGAGCTGACCTGACTGTGATCAGGGCTGACAACTCAACACTGTTTAACAGGACTGAGCCTGCACCTGATCAACGACCAATTCTCTCTTGGTCGACAGTAGTTATATTGATATCTGCAGATTTAAATAAATTTGATATATCAGTACTCAGTGATGATTGTTTTTAGTATAGCATGAACAAAAAAGAATTGTGACCAGGTGGAATATTTTACATGTGAATATTTTAACTCTCTTGCGGACAATGCTTGTAATTGAACATTTCTGACCTGCAATCTCTTGTTACTAATCGTCCAACAAATCTCCAAAATCAAGCCGATGCTCTCACACCTGGATCTGGAAAACATTACACACGCACTCATCTTTTCCCATCTCGATTATTGCAACTCCCTCCTTCCTGACATTCCCGATAAGTCCCTCTCTCGCCTCCAACTTGTCCAGCAGCTCGGCTTCTTACCAGTTTTAACAGACAACATCGCATCACGCCGATCTTGGCTTCCCTTCACTGGCTCCCTGTTTGTTTTAGAATTGATTTTAAGATTTTACTGATCCAAATTACATTTCTGATCTGTTGACCCCCTATGAGCCTGCTCGTAGCCCTAGATCCTCAGGTGGGTGGTTCCCTTTTGGTCATTCCGAAGCCGAGGCTTAAATCTAAAGGTGAAAAAAAGCTTCCTCCACCAGGACCCCTCAAGGCTGGAATGACCTGCCTGAGGAGATAAGGAGTCAGTAACTTCTTTTAAATCATTTCTTAAAACCCACTTTTATTGACTTGCTTTTATGTGAAGTTTACTTAGAGCTTCTACATGTTCTCTTTTGTTTTATTTCTGAACTTTTTTAGCTGCCTAGTTCTTTGGTGGTAATTTGCTTTAATTCTTCTTCAGCCTTAAGACTTCCTTGATTGTCTTTGTATTGCATGTTTTATTGTCAAAGCACCGTGTGACCGCTGTTCTTAAAGGTGCTATACAAATAAAGTTACACAACACAAACCCCCCTGCCGATATATCTGAGATAGTACTGACCAGTAAATCAGGAACAAAAGTCGGTTGCTACCAAGTCTAGTGTTTAATTGATGCATTATTTGGTCTGAAAACAAAAGACAGTGAAAACTGCCTATCACTATTTGCTAAAACCCAAAGTGATGGCTTTAAATTTAGAGGTATTTAATTTCGTATCACAGAGGGTAAAAAAGCGTGTCCTACATTTGAGAAGTTGAGAAGAGCCTGTGTATCTCAAATCAGTTGTAATTATCTGCCAATGCTTATTTAATTAACTAATTGTTTCAGTGCAGCTGTTATCTCAGGAAATGTCACAGCAGTTAAAAATCTGCTCAATATCGACTTCTGAATAGCTAAAAATAAAAAGTTATGCGTTAACCAAGAACTAAGCTAGGTTAAAACAAACTGCTGAAAAGGTCACATCTCATGTCCGAAGAACTACAACAGAGAGTTATATCTTCCATCATCTGCTTCCATGTATACGTCTTCTTTATTGCATTAGGAAATGTACCTATTGTGTCCAAACGGGGGGGGGGGATGATTGTTGAAACCTAAATAGTAAACGACTGAATGAGTGCAGACAGGCTGGTATCACCGGGTGATGATGGTCCAATAAATAAAGGAAAAGAAGACAATAAACAGAAAGATTGAGTCATTCCATCTCCTCGTTCCACTGCGAGTGACTAATGCCAGGGATGCACCCTCCGATACATAAATACGACAGTAAACAGTGAAATAATAAGACGAGACTAGAGAAGGAACATTTTCTGACTGACAGAATGAAAAAGAGATGAGAAACCACCGACAGAGATTGGAGTCTGCCTGCTTTCCTCTGATTGTCAGTGAGCATGGCTCTGCTGACTCCCCTGCTCTTTCTAGGAAATGCAATTTGTCTGATTTATTGTCGCTGTCTTTTTGAGGCACATTCTTCTCATTCAGGGAAAAGGGTAAAAATTAAATCTGGCAAAACAGAACCGTTCGGGCGACTGATATAGGTCCATCTCCACTTGCGCAAACACTCCTGTCAAACAAAAGTTATAAGCAGGGATCTGAATAGTCAACATTGCTGTTTTGCTGCCAATTTATTTATCAGTTGTTTATTGAATGCATCTGACATGTGCACGTATAATTCTAGGTCTTTATTGATCTGTTGTCTGCTGTCCAAATGGCACTGAGAGGAGACACGGCTGATTTACTCTGAGTGACTGTCCGTACACAAGCCAAGAGTAGGATAAGGATGTTGATTATTTTAGAAACCAGGATCCATAAAATGTGCCGGAACATGGCCGTAAAAGGAAAGGAAACAGAGATCAAACAATAAGTCTCAAATGGAGATAGTGTAGCTGCAGAGTCAAACAGAGGTGGAGTGGGTGTTTTCTCCATGAAGATGAAAGGGCTTTCTTGGCTGCAGAGCCTAAACAACCCCAGTGTTCTCTGGGACACTTCCAAAAAGCCTTTTTGAAGAAGGTGATTATAAATGAGACAGCTTTAGGAGTGAATCTCTACCAGCGTGGCTTTATGTGGAGACTGAATTATTGAATCTGTCAGACTAAAGGGGGAAAAAAGATCTGCTTTAATTATTTAAGTGCTATAGCATCTGAATGAAAGGAGGTGGGAGATGGTGTAGCATAGCAGATATCCGTTCAGCACTCTATTTTTTTTTTTTTTTTGTTAAACAGAAAAATGTCTTTATACTGAAACTGAGCAAGCTAAACATATACATACAAAATAAAAGACACATTCTTGATGCTACCCAATTAACATTTACATCTCCAGGTGTCTTTGATACCAATTTGCCTGCTGACTGAAAAACGTTCCCAACTGTTTGTGGTAAAAGTTTATTCTACCACATGACATGGAGCAGATGATTGTGTAAATCCTGAGTACATACAGCATTAATGTTTGGCATCGAAGCGTCCTGTGTGGGAGTAACAACGCTGACCTATGACCGACTGGGAAGCTGCACGCTGAGCCTATGTGCAGTTGCTGGGCTAGAGGTGGCTTTTCCTTCTAGCTGTAATCTCTGCTGTCTTAAGCATGTTTGACCCCACATGGACACACTTTATGCTGCAGAAAGCACAACCATAGAACATAAAATTACATTAAATCGAACATATATGGATATGACAGCCTGTCGAGGGCTCTTTACTAAGGCTCTACTATGACTTATTAGTTACAAATGTCAGATGGGCTGATTGGAAAATTACCACACAGCGTCTGAGAGACAAGTGGTGGCCACCCTGATGACCACCTGCTGAAATGTATCTCGTGTTACCCAAATCACTGCTGGCATGAAAGTACAAATGACTGCTAAATTATTCCTCACGTTATTAACCATCAAACCACGATCTGGGTGAATATTCTAAACGGCTGCAGGGTGTCTATTCATTCTGATAAACCTACGAAACAGTCCTAGTGAATCTGTCACTGTCCTTAATTAAAGTTCAAAAGGAACTATTCCAGACTAAATCTAAATATCTCATTTACAACGCTGAGTGAAGTCCCGTAGTGCCTCATCCTCTGAACGCCACCGGATGGCGACTGTGACATGCATGAAGTGCACTGGCACTCTGAACTTAGAGGCAACACATAAGTGATCAACTCAGATCCCATTTCAGATTCAGATTCAGATTCAGATTCAGATTTAACATTCAACTCACGACTTAAGGCTGAAGTCAACAGTGCACATGACCTTTCACTTGTTTCTGAAAATCTTAATATGGATTTGTTGAACACACATTTACAGTTTATCAGTCATACGCAGTGTTAATGCATTTGAATCTTGCTAACATAATATAAACTGTTGGGTTCTGGGAGCTAAACAGACGACAAAATCTCCCTCTGCCATGTCGTATGGAATGGTAATGAGTGTTCTAAGCAGATATGCAACGATCAACGATTTTCTTAACCAATAATCCATAAACCAAGTAGACACCATTCTTCTCCGGATTAAACAACTTTGAACATAATCCACTCCATATGTCACAAAATACAGACAGGCTGCTCTACTGGCTTCAGGAAATCATCCATTAATCCATTGCGATCATAATTTAGTTCACTTCAGCTCAGCGACAGGACGAGATTTCTGGTCGATGAGCGTCAAGCATCACAGGACACTTTCTCGTGGTGCCACTTTACGCTCTCTGTTTTGCCAACACAGAACCACTGGTAGTTCGACTGATCACATCTTTGGGTTGTAACAGTAATAAACAGTCAGAGTCGCCACCTGGTGGTGCAACCAGCTAATGTACAATACATTTTGCTCCATGCATGTCCTTCATATTCTGCCTCATGTATTTTTATTCAGTTAAAATCCATCCATCCATCAGCTCTACACCTTAGTCCCCA